TTGAAGGCCGCTGTCCTGTGAAGCTTGAAGGTTGCTGTCCTGTGAAGCTTGAAGGTTGCTGTCCTGTGAAGCTTGAAGGCTGCTGTCCTGTGAAGCTTGAAGGTTGCTGTCCTGTAAAGCTTGAAGGCTGCTGTCCTGTGAAGCTTGAAAGTTGCTGTCCTGTGAAGCTTGAAGGCCGCTGTCCTGTGAAGATTGAAGGTTGCTGTCCTGTGAAGCTTGAAGGTTGCTGTCCCGCGAAGCTTGAAGGCTGCTGTCCTGTGAAGCTTGAAGGTTGCTGTCCTGTGAAGCTTGAAGGCTGCTGTCCTGTGAAGCTTGAAGGCCGCTGTCCTGTAAAGCTTGAAGGTTGCTGTCCTGTGAAGCTTGAAGGTTGCTGTCCCGCGAAGCTTGAAGGCTGCTGTCCTGTGAAGCTTGAAGGTTGCTGTCCTGTAAAGCTTGAAGGCTGCTGTCCTGTGAAGCTTGAAGGTTGCTGTCCTGTGAAGCTTGAAGGCTGCTGTCCTGTGAAGCTTGAAGGCTGCTGTCCTGTGAAGCTTGAAGGTTGCTGTCCTGTGAAGCTTGAAGGCTGCTGTCCTGTGAAGCTTGAAGGCTGCTGCTCTGTTCATCATCGAAATCATCAGTCAGTATCCTGGTGAGATCAGTAACTTTTGTCTTAAGTTCCCGATTTTCCGTCTCCATTGTTTTCATCTTCCATGTTAAGTCACTGTTCTGTCTATGTAGATAAGCATTGTATGTCTCTCTGTCTTTCACAGTTATTGCCATGGTGTTGGACATTTTCTCAAGCTCTGAAAGCAGCCAGAGGGATTTGTTCATAGCTGCTTTGGTCTGCTGAAGATGCCTCTGAAGAGCTTTTGTACTATGCTGAGTTTCTCTAGTGGAGATTGAATACAGGGCTGCTCTGAGACTGGTGTCAGCATTGGCTTCATATTCCTGGAGAGTCGTCCTCAGATCATTAACGGTGCTTCTCCTTCTCTTTAACGGACTGGGTCCGGGACTCGGGGCAGGACTTGGGCAGGAATTTGGGTCTACATCTGGGCTGGGCTTTGACCCCTGCGAAGATGATGGTGAATCCATGTTCGCTTTCAACGTTCAATTCAGTCAATTCTGAAAATGTATCATACAGCTGAGCAAACTTGTATTATCTGAAAATATGTTGTGTATGTGTACTTTAGAGTTGCAAAGATTTATTGCAAATTTAAAGGGATGATTTGATTTATGATTCGCAAACTCCTGTAAACAGCTAAGCAATATGCACTTTGAAATTAAAATAGGGTATGAAACATTGCAAACGCACCCACTTGAGCCGAAGTCTCTAAGAAATACAAAAGATACTTTTCTTTTATATTCTATTTCAGTAAAGTTGATTAACAGGTGTAGTAAGGGTGGACAGATGTCAATACTTTTTGTCACTTAAAAAAATTACAGTTTATCATGTCTTCATCTTGCACCCTGAGCAATTTAAACGTAATCAAGTCTTCTCCTCTAGATCTGAGCAGATTTGGATTGAGGAATTGGAATTTGGAAGGAATCAGTTTCACAATAAATAATTGCAGCACTAGTTTGCTTGTCAAAAACCTGCCTGCTACATCTACATTTCAAATGTTTCGAATTTAATGTATATGATATCACGAGACTATTTCTGAAAACAATGTGGCACGTCTTGTTCATAAGTGTAAAATGGGTTTTTCTGTCCTAAAATCTTAGAAGTGTAGCAGGTGGGTTTTTGATCTGTGTATGTGTGTGTGAATGAGGCTAGAGTTACGCAGTAAAGAAAGGAGAGGGATAAGGTTTACATGGAAGTATTTCATGCACAGGTAAGAAACAACAAAACATGACCAGTTAGCCACCAATCTACATACCACCACCGAAAAAGCATGTAAGCATAAGTAGTGAAATGCTCTTTACCCAGGGGGCAAAACCCCATTTTTGGGGTAAACCAGAACCGGGATGCTATAAAAGGTTGTTTGGTATCAACGTGTTCAGGGGACCTCCCTGAACAACTTCCAGGTGGACAACCTTGAAAATATGCTGCTGAAAAAAAATGGCGGCCATTTTTCAAATTGGCCACCGTGTGTAACTAATGATGATCAAAAGGCGTGAGCACTTTCTCGAGTATATGAAAGTTCCAGTAATGCTTCCGTCCTAGTTTAACGCTTTCTATAATGCGCTGACCACTGTCTCCGTACTTTGTTGGTGAGTTGATTCTTGCGGCATGTGACTCTGTTTGTAGTCGATATAGAAGACGCCACCTAGCGCCGCTGCGCTGCCGAAACCAATGACTCCAGATAGAATGAAGACTGGTTTCACCATCTCCGTATAGTCCACTAGGAATCCTGTAGTGATACGAAATTACAAAATTGTAAATTACGAGATAGAAAATCGTAGCGTAGTGCAAACATGTTGTCGCGTGAACGGACCTTTGGGCGAATTCGCTTCACTTCAATCTAAATTTAATTAATAAATAGAGACACTGAAGATCAAGTGAGCGTCGCACGTGAGAGGGACAGTCATGTTCGTGTAAGGGAAAAGTCATGCTTTGTGATTTGGCAGAGGTTAATAAATTACCATTGACTTGTTACGGATGGAGATTACTCGAAGGAGTGCAGCTAGGTGAACCATTTATCATGGGATGAAGGCAAAATGATTAGGTCTATATAGGAATTATATATCACATATCACGCATCAAGTTAGATGAACGGACACCAGACTAGACACCGTGAACAGGAGCCTAAAAGCTAGAACTAATAGCAAACTAAATAACGGTAGAAATAGGTCTGTCAACAACTCCATGCGCACCTCCCTTCACACCTGTATCTGCAACAACACATTGGTAAATCTGTCATGACAACACAAATCTGGCGAGCCAAATCGTACGCGAGCACTCACCTGCTGCAAGAGGCCCGACGAGACCTCCTAGACCATAGGAAAAAAGGTAGAACGCCTGAACCATCGGTAGATTCTGTATGCCGAACAAATCCACCAGCATTGTCGTTTCCAGGCTCGCTCTAGCGCCGTAGGCGCACCCGTACAGCACACAGCAGATCACGAACACCCACAGTTCGCGTGCGAGCAGGAACAAGAAGTAGGTGACGCCGATGATGATGGTCGCGACGACGAAGACGATGCGACGGAAGAACAACGAGCGGTCGGCGAGCGACGACACGACGAATTGCAGCACGACGTTACAGATGTTGAGAACTGTGATCATGAGAGCAGCCTGCGAGAGACTCAAGCCCTGCCGGACGCCGTACAACACACCGAACGTCACGAGCACGTTCAGACTGAACGAGTTCAGTAGATGATTCATGCAGTGAAGTACGAACTTCTTCGTGTTCGTAAGCGGCATCATGAGACGGCCGCCCTCGCCGCGGCGCTCGGCCAGCGCGTCCTTCGACGATTGCGGTATTTCCCGGAAGAGGGCGCCAGCTGCTACGCTCTGTAGGTAATGCCGGCCAAACTGATCATCGCACCTTGCCAGGTATAAAGCTCTCGATTAGTTCACACACAGCATGGGTGAAATTAGCGCACCACGGCTCCGCGCTGTTGCCTCCCAGCTCCATTCGCCAGAGAACGCTTCTTGTCGAAATAAAGTCCGTTAATGACAAGGAAGGTGTGTAAAATTCATTTACTCTTCCAATGCCTGCAAGAAACCACTTCAATAGTTAGAATATTATTGCATCAGTACTTTAGCTACACGGGCTCAAGTGTCCATAGCATATCCGCGTTCATACACACAACGCTACGTATGCTTACGAAAAATGCGTGTACCATAATCTTTTCTGAATAACAGATTGAAACGAAAGTAAAGAGCTGCTTCACGGAAATACACGGCGACACAGGACAGTATACGTGGACTGACTATTCACATTTTATAATCTCCCGAAAATAATCCTGAATTCATCTCTGGCAACGTAATGCTTTCTTGCTTACCTGCCATTAGGCCGTATGCACAGATCAACACGTTGAGATCCGCTGGTGCAGCATAACTGATACACATGCCAGCTGTAGCCAGCATCCCTCCTGTCGTCACCACCAGCCGATAGCCATACTTCTCTGACAGTCGGCTGAACACAGGACCTGTTCAAGTAGTTACAATTTATACCATGTCACGATATTTGACTATAATAAACGTCACTTCAGGCGTGCACGAACACACAAGCGCGCACGTACACACACGCGCGCGCACACACGTCCACGTACACGCTACTGCTGCGCACGTACAACCACGCCTTGCGCACGCACACCAAGCGCCCTGCACCGAACGCACATGCACGTAGACACAAGTGCACGTACACACACGTGTAGGCACTGCGCATGAAAGCTTGATCAGATGTGAGAACAGAGCAGACAGGGCGAGAGAGAGACAGTCAGCGAGATGAGAGATGTGAGTCGCGAGAGAGAGAGAGAGAGAGAGAGAGAAAGCGCGCGCGAGAGAAAAAAGAAAAGAGAGAGCAAGAGACTCTCCATTGCGCTCCCTCATTTCCCCCAATTATTCCATCCCTCAATCCCTTTCCCCATCCTCCCCACTATACTTCTAACTTATATACAAATTGTAAACATAACCAGAGCATTGTACTGTCTCTTAAAATCAGGCAAACATATAGATTTCTCGGGGTTAGAGAGCGCAAGAAGAAGCGTGCGCGTGCAGCGGGACACACGTGTAAGCGGCGTCTCACCTGACATTAGTGTCATTCCGGTCTGCAGCGATCCCACGAGAGCGATCAGGCTCGTCCTATCCCCGAACACCGACACAAACTCTACGAACAGCACTGGAAAGGAAGAGACTGCGCCGTACATAACGAACATGTTCATGGAAGCGCCCACCAGCACCATCCACGCCCAGCCGTGATCGGTGTGCGCCAAACCCCCGATCTCCACGATGTCCAGTTGATGGACCGCGTCGCCGTCTGTCACGTTGTCTGTGGTCTCCGTGTTTGTCACCTTCCATATGGTCTCCGCGTTTGTCATGTTCACCATGGTCTCTGTGTTTGTCACGTTCTCTGTGGTCTCTGTATTTGTCACATTCTCTGTGGTCTCTGTATTCGTCACATCCTCTGTGGTCTCTGTATTTATCACATTCTCGGTGGCTGCCGTGTCTGTCTCTTTCCTGCCTGCTGTGTTCTCTTGCTGCGTGTTTGTTGTCGGACTGCCTCGCAAGGTGACGGGACAACTCAGCCCTGGCGTGGTCGCTGTAGCTTCACCGTCTACTGACGTCCCACCTTTCACGGCATCACGTTGCATTGTGTATCGTTCTCGTTCTCTGCTAAACTGCCCGTGGATTTCGGTGGATTTGCGCGCAAACCTCTCATAACTTGCAACTGTGTTCTGCCAAACACGACTTGCTCATCCCCCCGCGTCGCTGCATGCACAGGGAATGCAATCAAGAGGACAGGTAGAGAGATGAGAGGGAGGGAAGAGAAAGAGAGAGGGGGAGACGTCGGGGACAACAGCCGGACTCACAGCCGCTCCGCTACAACACACAGACTGTGCTAATCGCGCTAACCGCTACCAAACCCTAACCATATTCAGATAGTTACAGGGTACGTTCCTGCTATACCGGACCGTACCAGGATACGTTCCGACAGTACCCTGGTCGGGACTATAGACCCTATATAAGCATCAGGTAAAGGAATATCTGCTATTAGGGCAGTTAGTGCAGAAAATAGCAATTAAGCAGTCGTTGTATCAGCCTTATATCAGTAACATCAGTAAGTGTCAAGATATGTTCAGAAGCAGTCGTTGTCTCAGCTATACTTAGGTTAACAATTCAGAAGTGTCAGATATATCCAATAAGCAGCTTCGTAGTATCCGCTTATCAGTAACACTCAGTAAGTGTCAGATATTCAGTAAGCAGTCGTTCGTTAATCAGCCTATATCAGTAACATCAGTAAATGTCAGAATATATCAATAGAGGCAGTCGGTGTATCAGCTATGATCAGTAACATCCCGTAAGTCTCAGATATATTCAGTCAAGCCCAGTTCGTTGTATCAGCTATATCAGTGACATCAGTAAGTGTCAGATATATCAGTAAGCAGTCGCTTGTAATCAGCTATAATCAGTACATCAGTAAGCTGTTACATATATCAGTAAGAGTCGTTTGTATCAGCCTATATCAGTTAACATCACTAGGAAGTCGTCAGATATATATCAATTTAAGCGAATCGTTGTATTCAGCTATATCAGTAACACTCAGTAAGTGTCAGATCATGTCAATAAGCAGTCGTTGTATCAGCTATATCAGTAAGATCATGATAAGTGTCAGAATATGTCCAATACTGCAGTCGTTGTATCAGCTATTAGCAGTAACATCAGTAAGTGTTCACATATATCGTAAGCAGTCCGCTGTATCAGCTATATCAGTAAGCATCACTAGGAAGTAGTCCAGATATATCATCCAAATGCCAGTCGTTGTATCAGCTATATCCAGTAACATCACTAAGGAAGTGTCAGATATATATCAATAAGCAGGCCCCGTAGCCAGCTTTCATATTGGGGGGCGGGTTCGTTTTTCAATGTTGGCAATTTGCTCGCAGCGGGCGTGCTACAAGGATTTGTACGCAGGGGGCGGTCACCGTAACCCAAAGGTGGCGAGGCACGCGAAGGGGGGGTCCTGGGGGGCAACTCCCCAAGAAATTTTTTTAAATTAGACCGCCCTCAAATGCGTTTCTCTGCGCGAGCAGGGGGCGGTCCGGACTCCCTGGACCCCCCATGTACACGCCGCCTGCTCGGCGCGAAGCGAACCAGCGAGAGAAGCCAAGCGATCCGAGGGGGGGAGCGGTGTGGGAGGGGGCGTGTTCACTGTTCACGCCTCCCGCACGATGGCAGATTCGTTGCAATTATTACACTAAAAATGGAGCGGCGACTAGGTGAAATTACTTGCCAAAATTTTCAAAATTATTAATTTTTTTGCTTGGGGGTGGGGGGGACGGGCGGGGGGGGGGCGGTTCCGTTTCGAACCCGTCCGAACCCCCCCTGGCTAACGGGCCTGATAGCAGTCGTTGTATCCG